GGCAGGAGGATCCCAGGGAGCTTAAAACCAGCTTGAACTACATAATAAGACCTTATCTCAAAAAACAAAAAAGTAAATCCCGTGACATTGAGAAAATTCTTCAGCTATGTGATTTTAAAGCTAATAGAGCTACCCAGCAAAAGAAACTAACAGAGTAAAGAGACAACCCACAGAATGGGGAAAACATTTTTATCAGCTAGTCTTTAGAGTACTAACATCTAAGATATGGAACTTGAAAAACCAGACCCCCTAAATTTATTTTTTAAATTTTTTTTTACTTTAAAGAGATTAAGATAAAAGAGGACATAACAAAGCAGATCAGAACACAACTATTTAAGCAACACAGTATTTCAGCACAAGACAATCTGATATATCAGTAGCTACCATAATATCTCTTTCCTTGAAATAGTTGAGTATATCTTTATACACAATAGTATCAAACATAACAAAATAGTATAAAACCATTAAAAAGAACCAAATAACAGAAAACGAAAAATGGTTACTATATTATCTCCTTGTCCATAAAAAGTTTGTTTATATTATCACACATAATAAAATCCAGTAAGATACAACATGATAGAACCAACGGAAACAGAAGAACAAAAGCATGGTAGGACTTCAAAACAAGATGATATTAAATCAGCACTGGCCATTATAATGTCTTGTTTTCTTCAAAATAGTTGTTCATATCATCACAGATAATAAAATCAAACAACCCAGGATAAAACCATTCTAACTAATGAATGGGAACATTATAAGGCTCCAAAGCAATGTAATGGGGAATCATGATTACCATAAACTCTTATGTACTCTTACCATTTCTTACACTAGGAAGACTATCTGGTGTTTATACATGTGAGTTTGATTTATTTTGCTTATGAGTAGGATCTCAAGTTGCATACATTTATAAATATCTCAATGTGATCATTCTTTATAGCTGAGTAGTACTCCATGGTATAAAAATACCACAACTTTTTTATCCATTCTTCAGTTGATGGACATAGGTTGTTTCCAAGATGTGGCTATTACAAATTGTGCTGTTGTAAACATGGTGCACATATATCACAGTAGTATTATGTTTTCAGTTCTTTTGGGAATATACCTAGAAGCAGAATAGCTGGATCAAATGGGACTTCCAATCCCAGCTCTTTGGGAAATCTCCAGACTGACCTCCACAATGGTTGCACCAGTCTACACTGCCACCAACAGTGCAGGAGAGTTCTTTTTTTCCCACAGCCTCTCCAGCATTTGTGGTTGGTAGTTTTCTTTTTCTTTTTCTTTTTTTCTTTTTTTTGTCTTTTTCTTTTTTACCAGTACCGGGGATCGAACTCATGACTGCCTGCTTTCAAGGCAGGCGCTTATGCAGCTGAGCTAACCCCCCAGCCCCAGTTGGTAGTTTTCTTGATCCTGGCCATTCTTTCTGGAGTGAGATGGAATCTCAGTGTGGTTTTAATTTGCATTTCTGTAATGATGATGAATATTTTTTCATGTATTTATTTGCCATTTGTAATTCTTCATTTCAGAACTGTGTATTCATCTCAGATGCCCATTTTTGGATTGGCTCTTTGAATTTCAGGAGACCCCCTAAATTTAAAGATCCAGTCCAAAGATAGGCATCTGAATATATACTTCTCAGATGAAGAAGTACAAACATAAGTATATGAAAAAGGATTCAACAACGCTGGTCAAATTAGAACTCTAAGATTCCATCTCCAGAAAGAATGGGTATTATGAAGAACTCAACTAGTAAGAAGTGCAGGCAAGAGTGCCGCGGTGGGAACAGGAACCCTTCTCCACTGTTGGTGGGAATGGAGACAAGCACTTTGGAAATCAGTATGGAGATTCCTCAAAAACTAAAAGGTTCCATTTGACTCAGCCTGTCTTTTTAGATATCATCCCTAAAGTTCAAAGCATCATACCACAGTGGTTACACATACCTGTGCTATAAAGCGGCACAATGTATAGTAGATAAATCTTGGAAACAGCCCATATATATGCCCACAACCCATATGCCCAACAGATGAATGGATAATGAAAATGTGGTATTTATTTACAGTGCAGCTCTACTACTCCAGAAAGAATGATAAGCTCAAGTCCTTTGTAGGAAAATGGATGCACTTTGATATCATAATCTAATGTGAAATAAATTGGGCACACAAGTTTAAATATTGCATGGTTTCTGTTGTGTGAGGAACTCAAAAGATAAATAAGGAGCATAAAGGAAGATGATGAGATTAGGAAGTGGGAAGAACGTGTTTAAAATGGGAAGGGGACCAGGGAAGAAGGGAGGGGGAAGGGAAGGAAGAGAAAGAGAAGAGAACGGGGAAAATGGATACAGAGTTTGTATAAATGAGAGAAAGTGTTGAAGGGAGTAAAATGGAAAGCAGTGGGAAAGAAGAATTAAGATACACACTGTACAGATGCGAGTTCCCTATTGTGAATATATGGTAAGTATGTAATAAGAAGAATAAAAAATGTTAAAGCCCAGTAAATAAATATAAAAGGAATTCAGGGCCTGGGGATACAGCTCAGTGGTACAAGCACCTGCTTGGCAAGCATGAGGTTGTGAGTTCAATACCTGATACCAAAAAAAGGAAAATTCAGTAACGGGGTAGCAGAGCACAGGTAGACCTGTGTGTATGTGTGTGTGTGTTCATTACAGATTGTGTTAGGAAAGTGTTAAGTGTGGGTTAGGTTAATGTGATAATGAGAATGTAGAACGAACTGCCCCATCCCTCATCTCTCATACTGTTTTTTGGGTTGCTTAAAGTGGGGGTGCTGTTCTATAAAATGTAAGGTGAAAAAATAGATTTTAGTTAGATAAGGCCAAAGAAACTCCTCGGCTTACTTCCTAGCACTACTTGCTGTCTTGATCTCAAATTCCAGTTTTTTTTAAAAAAAGGGGGAAAAAAACCAGAAAAAGGGTAGAAATAATACAGAGTTTCAAAAAAATAAACAGTAAGAAATCACTAGTTGATAATTACATATTGTCTTCTTAGAAATAGTTGTTCAAGTTACAAAATTAAAGCATACAAAGTGGACATTCAAACAGCAAGACTGCAAACAGTTCTGTTCAATGATCTAACAAAAACTTAGTAATATGGTTATCAATCCTACACACTTAAACATGCATACAGTCATATCCTTTAGAACACTGCCTTTTCCTCTCTTTTTTATCAACTACACATTCTGGGTTTATTACTCCTACATTTCTTACTACTTTTTACACTAGAGATACAATGTGATATTTATAAATATGATTCTTACTTATTTCACTAATGATAACCTCAAGTTGTCTCCATTTGCCTATAAAGGCCTCAAGATCATCCTTTTTGTAGCTGAGTAATATTCCATCATCTAAATATACCATATCTTTTTCATTCACTCTGTGGTTGATGGGCATCTTGGTTATTTCCAAAATTTAGCTATTACAAATTGTGCTGCTGTGAACATGGGTGCACATACATCACTGTGCTATGACCTTTTCAGGTTTTCTGGGAAAATACCTAGGAGGGGAATAGCTGGGTTGAATGGAATTTTCAATCCTAGTCTTCTGAGAATTCTCCGTACTGATTGGCATAGTGGTTGCACAGTCTTCACTTCCACCAACAGTGAAGAAGTGTTCCTTTTTTCCCCACAGCCTCACCAACATTTGTTAGCAGTTGATTTCTTGATGGCAGCTATTCTTTCGGGAGTCAAATTCCAGTTTTTATTGCTGCTATTTAAAAATAGGCAGCTGGGGTCTGGAGCTGTAGTTCAGTGGCATTAAGCACTTCCTAGTAGCATGCATGAAGGCCTGGGTTCATTCCCCTGCACAACCAAGATAAGGGGGAGGGGGTTGCTTATTTATTTAGAAATGGGACCTTGCTTGTAGTCATTTGGGCAACTACAATTAGAGCTGCTTTGATCCTTTCTGTCTCAGCCTCTGTCTGGACAACTGCCTTCTCTTGACTGAATATCTCTGCATGGAATGTCTGCTTAAATTCTTGTTGACATTTAAAAGTAAGGCATGATGAGTTTTTGCAACACTGCAGATATAGTTAGTAATATAAAAGAAGGAAAAACTGAATTTTTCCACAGTGAGGCTGTTCACTTTGAAAAATGGTCATAGTAGAATGGAAGGTGGAAAGATTTTTAGAGTGGAGTTAGGCAAAATAGTGAAGGGAGAGCTTGAAAAGGGAGTACAGATAAGGAATTTTGCTGTAAAAAGCCGAGAGAGCCAGGTGTGATGGTATACACCTGTCATCTCAGCTATTCTGGAGGCTGAGATCAGAGGATCACAAGTTTGAGTCTAGCTTGGGCAATTTAGTGAGAGATCTTGTATCAAAATAAAAGGCCTGGGAATGTGACTCCAGGTACCTAAGGTGCATGAGCCCTGAATTTGATCCCAGAACAAGAGAAAATGTGAATTGTCTTTTGAAAGAGGCAAGCTGCTGGGGATTTATCTCAGCGGCATAAGCACCTGCTTTGAAAGCGTGAGGTCATGAGTTCGATCCCTGGTACCGATTTAAAAAAAAAAAAAAAAGAAAAAGAGATGAGCCGAATGTATCAGACACCTGTAATCTCAGGATTTAGGAGGCTGAGGCAGGAGGAGCGCTGCCGAGTTTGAGGCCAGCCTGAACTGCATAGTGAGACCTTGTCTAAAACAAAAGTGATGAATTTTATGTTATGAGCATTGAACCTCAATTACAAACAATAAGTGACAAAGTTTTAGTGTCCAATCCACATCTTAGGTCTGAGTGTGGTGTGTTCTACCCAAAATTCATTTGTGTTACCTAGGTAGCAGCCCATGTCCTCCAGGTTTGAAGGCCAAGTGGTACTGCTGTAGCAGTACCTCACAGAGGTGCCAGAGGCAAGAAAGATGTCCTTCCAGCCAGAGTCTCACCAGGACTCTGCTACCTGTTCAGTTCTTCGCATTGAACATGCTCCATTATTAATGATAACTTCTGAGTGTTGAAAAGAAAATGTTAAAGTGCTAACTCTTCAACTTTTAATTCTAGCTGCAAAAGACAAGGAAAAGAATAAAGAGAAAAAGTTCAAAGAACTTGTGAGAGTGAAACCAAAGAAGAAGAAGAAAAAGAAAAAGAAAATCAAACCTGGTGACTTTCCTTTGAGTTTCCTTGTCCTAGGTGGGGAGGGGTGGCTTCCTCTCCTTTTTTTTTTTTTTTTTTTTGGTGGCTTCCTCTCCAAATGCCCTCTGAGTTGCATTGAAGGGAATAGGGACCAGAGGCTTCTCTCTGGGCTTTTGTGTACCATCTAGCCTGGGCTCTGACACAGTTTGGGGGTGAGACACTCCCCTAGATCTTACAAGATTTAGCTGGCATTTATGATGGCATCAGAGTCCAAGAGGATGTGCAGATGAGTGACTATTTTTGTTCACACATATGACTTTTAAACATGCATCTCTAAAGAAAGGATTTACTTCTTGGTTTGTCTACCTACACAATAATATTTCAGAAAATCTATGTTCCAACCTTGGGAGTTAAAGAGATGTTATTCTCTGTAACTTCTTGGCGTAGAAAATCAGTCTTACCAGGAAAGAAGGAGACAGTGACAGGAGGAGGAAGAATTTGGGCTTAGGATTCTCACAGGTGGCTGAAAATATGAATCCTTAAATCTGTCTTCCATACCTCTTTGTGGGTGAACTGTCCTCATGCCTTTGAGCTCTTGGAATACAGACTTGTTGGTTGAATGAGTTCGATTCTGGAGTGCCCTGATGATGTCTGCCATTCTTCCAGAATGCCCCTGCAGTGAGGACATCAGTGACACTTCCCAGGAACCATCGCCACCCAAGGCATTTGCTGTCACCAGGTGTGGGTCCTCACACAAGCCTGTGGTCCATATGAGCCCACAGCTTCATGGCTCAGAATCTGGCAACCACAAAGGGAAATTGAAAGCTTCTGGTAAGGGTGCTCCCTGTGGCCTAAAGATACTTTAGGAAGTAATACTTAATGTCTGGAAGAAATGTTTCCTTGTCCTAAGTGGGGAGGGGTGGTACTCTGATTGATCGTCCTGGGATTTTTCACTCCTTCCTCATTGTTTGCAGAGCTTGAAAGCTAGCTGTGGACACAGATTGATGGCAAACCAGGTCCAGGCTGGATGGGGTAGGCTGAGCAGCATGTTAGAGTGCTATGGGTGAGGGACTGTATGTGTCACAAAGAGTTGTAGCTTCTTTGCGAGCAAGCTCTGTGACCTTGAGCACCCACTGACCTTGGGCTTCATGTTCCCCCAGTGAAATGAGGAAATGGAGAATTGCCAGCCAGTGTATTCTGTTTTGGGCTGTTACTAATGACAAGCCCAAGGAACAGATTTGTGCTTCTATTTCCCAACCCTGTGCAGCTCCTGGAGGAGTGGGTTATAAAGTCATTTTCCACTATGGACACTCCAGGGTTACAAATTTTGAAGTATAATTTAAAATAGTTACTGTTGGTTCTCTTCATCCAGAGGAAGATAATTTGAGTGAATCTTCTTCTGAGAGCTTTCTTTGGAGTGACGAGGAGTATGGTCAAGATGTTGATGTGACCACCAATCCAGATGAGGAACTTGATGCTGATGACCACTATGACTTTGAGGTGGTCCGTTGCATCTGTGAAGTACAGGAGGAAAATGATTTCATGATTCAGGTAGGTAGAGCTTCCAGAACACAAGCCTAAAGAAGAAACAAAACAAAAAACCACTGGTCCTTGGAGAGAAGGTTGAGGTTAGCAACAGTGCTGAGTCATATTAAAAACCTCAGATATTTGGTACCAATAGCAGTAGACTGAGTTTGCTTTTGGTTTGATTTTCTGGGAATTTCAGGCTGCTGTAAATAGCCCATCCATAAAATAAAACAAAACAAAATAGAATAAAAGAGGCTTCAAGGAATTGTTGATTACAAGCCTCTCATCCTCTGCTCATTTTGAAGCCTGCCCTGGGTTAACAGTGACTTTGCCAATGGTCACACAGTGAGGCCAGCAGAAACTCAGACTTTGGGGTGACATTTTAACTTTATGAATCATCTTCTCTTTGAAGCAGATTTTCTTTGTTGCCTAAAGAAATGGACGCTGATTTTATAACTTCTTTGTTCCTATTGGTATGTTATCTTTTTCCTTGGAATGTTCCTGTGAGGTGGGACCTGCCTACCTACTTGAGAACATCACTGGTCCTTTGCTTGCTGTGGCCCTTTTTTTTTTTTTTTAAACTGTTTGTTACTTGCAGTTCTGATGGAAGTGGCTGCTGTCTGGCTGACTTCAAGGACTGTCATAAATACCTTGGGTGTCTTGGCAGCTGCCCGGCTGGCCAGGAAACCTGAGTTTTTTTGAAAGTAAGTCATACTTGTATTAGTTAGCATTTTTCAGGAGCAAGTACATTGTCGAGAGAGTAAGATGTTGGAACACAAAGCCTTGCTCACACTGTTCCCTGCTTCTTTCCAGAATCAATTTGATTATTTTTCTTTTTTGCTACTTCTTTTCTTCCATTTATTTATTTTTTTATGTTACTACATATTTTCTTAGAAGATATAAAATGGTCACATAGGTGTGTCCCCTTGCCATCTTTTTTGTCTTGTCTTTTTGTGTTCAAGAGATGAGGCAGATTGATCTTGGAATCTCAGTGCCAATTCTGAATTCCTGGGTATGGAATTCCAACCCAGCTCAGGTGAATGAGTATTTGGGGAGGCAGAAAGATTTTTGCTGGGTCACATGGCCATCCTCGGTCTAATCATCTGGCCTGGAGCTCGGTGGAGGTTGAGGGATGTGGGCAGCTTCATATAGAAAGGCTGCCTGGAGCTTACCTCTGTTGTTGTGTGGACAAGAGGGTGGCTGTTTCCAGTAAAGGAGGTGTCTGTCCATCTGCCAGTAAGAGTTTTCTCTAGTGTGTGGAGATTATGAGAAGGCCTTGCCCTCCTTGGCTTGCTTTATTTTCTTGCCCTAATAATGCTGTTAGTTAGTATGGGTTCAATTTTTGAAATTCACTTTTGGGATTTTGGTTTACTATATAGTTTAATTTATATATCTGATTTTGGTTTTTTGGGAGGGTATTTTTATTTTTTTACTTATGGATGTTTTTATGGATGTTTTTGAGATAGGGTCTTAATGTTCAGGTTGACCTTAAGTCACTGTATAGCCCAGGCTGGCCTCAAACTTACGGTGATCCTCCTGCCTCGGCCTCCCAAGTTCTGGGATTACAGCTGTCTGCCACCATGTTCAGCTAAGCTCTTTTTTATTTTAACAACAGGGTCTGGCTAAATTGTTAAATTTCCCAGGCTGTGCTTGAATTTGCAGTCTTCCTGCTTCAGCTTCCCAAATTGCTGGGTTATTGGTGTACGCCATGCATGATGTCTAGCTTTTTCCCATTTTATTATTATTGTTTGTTTTGAGAGGATCTCAATATGTAGGATCAGGCTGGCCTTGAATTTGGAGCGATCCTTCTGCCTCAGTCTCTGCACTGTTGGAATTACAGGCATGTACCACCACTCCCAGCTATTTCACATTAATTTATGTTGTTAGTTTACATCAGTTTTTAATAATTGCTGGCCATGGTGGCTCACGCTTGTAATCCCAGCCCTCGGAGGCTGAGGCAGGAGGATTGTTGCAAGTTGGAGACCAACCTGGGCTACAAAGTGAGCTCAAGGCTAGCCTGAACTGCACAGCAAGACCCTGTCTCAAAAAGACAAAAAAAAAATTTTTTTAATGATTGACTTGAGCAGTTTTTATTTAATAATTAACTTTTTTGCCTTACTACCTTGATTGGTCTCTTTGTACTCTTTATCTATTTTTCTGTTCACAGTGGTTCATTTTCTTATTAATTTGTGTAGTTTTTTTTTTTGTATCAGTGATAAAATACAAGGCACTCTATTACTGAGTTTTATCCCTTGTCCTGTTAGATTATAGTGAGCCATTATTAATTTTTGGCATTTATTTATTTGAGACAGTCTCCCTATATATTCTAGACTGCCCTTGAACTCACTGTGTATCTCAGGCTGGCCTTGAACTATTGTTGATCTTCCTGCCTTAGCCTCCTGAGTACTGAGATTACAGGTGTGTGCCATTACACCCAGCTTTTTCTTCTTTTTCTTTCTTTGTTTTTTTTTTTTTTTTTTTAAAGACAGGGTCTACTATGTAGTTCAAACTGGCCTTGAACTCACTGTGTAGCCCAGGCTGGTCTTGAACTCAGCTTCCCAACAGCTAAGATTAAAAGGTACATCACCACACCTGGCTGGCTGGCACACTGACTGCCTCCTTTCCTTCTTCCCTCCCTCCCTTTCTTCCTTGCATCTCCCCTCTCTCCTCTGTCTTTTTCCCTCTCTCTTCTCTTCTGTCTCCTCTCCTTTTTTTCCCTCCTCCCTTTTACATTGTGTGTGTGTGTGTGTGTGTGTGTGTGTGTGTGTGTGTGTGTGTGTGTACTGGGCATTTAAACCAAGACTGTCTCCAATCCTTATTTACATATGTATGTATGCATGTATATGTATATATTTAGAGACTAGATCTCACTAAATCACTAAGTTGTCTGGGCTGGTTTTGAACTTGGCAGTCCTCCTGCCTCATCTTCCCAGAATGCTTAGATTATAGGCCTGTATCACCATATTTGACTGTAAAAGCCTTTTATAGAGCTTTTGTATAGGCTATTGTAAGGGTTACAGATATATTTGGCACTTTATCATATCTTTTGAATATCTTATAAATGCTTTGCTTGGTTTTCATAAGGTCATATACAACAAATTTAAGAAAAAATACAGCAAAACTTTTCTTTAATGAATTCTTTGACAGATGAGACTGAGCTGGGTTGATGCACAGCAACAGAGCAGTTGACAAAGTGTATATTAAGCCCTGTGTTCAATTCCTAGCATTGCAGAAATAAATGTATAACACAACAGCACCTCTTATGGTTTCTTCTAGCTTTACTGAGCTTTCATTAATTTTTTAAACAATATAAATAATTGGTCCACCAGTTGTCCTAATACCATGCTCCATGGTCTGAAATGTTGCTAATATTTACTTCATTTCATTTGTATTTGTGGTATATTTTTTGGTCATGGGGATGGAACTCACAAGGCACTTGGGCAGCTGAGCTAAAACCTCTGGCCTCATTTCATGTGTGTTTGGATCTCTTCTTTTTTTTCCCTTTGAGCCATCTGTCTATGTATTTGCTTATATAATTTTAATTGTTACGCTTTTATAATTTTAATATAGCTGGTAGAGCTAGTACATTCGTAATGCTTTTCTTTTATATGTCTTGGCTGTTTTAGAAATCTACCTAATCACAAAACTATTAGTTTATTTTGGGTCTATAATATTTTTGTGTATTAGTCAAAGGAGAAGTGATTCCTTATGGTATTTACTGTTACTGTCTTTCAAGGGGACACACTGTGCCATGACTTTAATCTTTGTTCTTCAAATAATATTTTAAAATTGTTTTTATAGAGAGCTGGGTGTGGAGAGGTACATCCCAGTACTTGGGAGGCTGAGGCAAGAGGAACACTATGAGTTTGACATCAGCCTGAACTACATAGAGAGACCCTGTGTAAAAATACAAAAATACAGAAAACAGAGTCAAAGAGGTCTTTCAATTTTTTGTGTTTATTGAGCTCACCATGTAGTATAGGGTGGCTTTGAACCTGTTGTGGTCCTCCACCTCCCAAATGCTGATATTACAGGTTGTCAGCGGGGAATTCAGGCTGAATTTAAACTTTTAAAAGTGAGTAATGTATGTAGCAAGACCCATATGAAAAAAGCTATCATTGTGTATTTTGAAACTTAGCTGTATTTGATTTTAGTTCTCAAGTTCTAGTTCTGTGAAACAGAATTTCATTCTTAATTTCTAGCCTTTTTTTCTGCTTTTCACTGCTTTTATTGGCTTGCTCAGTTTCCTTCTTTTCACTGAATCTTAGCTTCCTTATTGGTAAAGTAGAGGCTCTGAAAGAGATCTTATGTAAAGTCCTTTGGGTCTGTCCTTGACAATTAGCTTCCTGGAGGCTTTCTGTTTGCCCAGGGAAGCCTTCTTGATGCTGTGACCTATCTGACACCAATTAGGTGTTTGAGCTTGCTTGCTAGTGCCTTTTTGGCAGGCTGGTTTCCCTGCCATCAAGATCATGTTAAGAAAACCCACAGTCCATCTTCCAGAGCTTATCTAATTGTTTGAGTATTAAGGTTTGGAGCCTTGGATTACAATTGCTTGAAGTGTCCGTAGTGTCTTTGGGAATCTACTTTTTTTTTTTTGAGGCAGGGTTTCGCTACGCAGTTTAGGCTGGTTTTGAACTCATAGTGATCCTCCTGCCTCAGCCAAGAATTTGCCTAGACTCATTATCTCTGGCTATCAAAATACCGCTGTCATTCTTTCCTCCACTCTACTTTCTATTCTTTATCCTCATTCCCCAGTACCTAGGAAGGCAGTCAAACCTAGGGGTCAAGAGAGATAGCTTTGTAATTATCCAGGCTGGGATTCTGACCTACCATGTCTCTCAGCAGCTGTGTGACCTTTGGTACCGCTTAGTGAGAACAAATGAAAAGTGCTAACACGTGATCACTTATGAGGGGTTCCAATAAAAGGCTCATCCATTAGTAAACAGCTGTATGCTTGGCTCTAGTGGCTTACAGATATCTCATGGAATTGATAGGAATATTATCTCATTTTGCAGATAGGAAAACAGAATGGCGCAACCTGTGCAAAATTACACAGCTAATGAATGCCTCAGCCATAATCCAAACTCAGCTTTTTGTTATTTCAGGGTAGCCTGTATCTAAGAATTTGAGCGATTTTCATTCAGGTCGCATAATGTGATTAGGAAAGTGAAAGCCTCTAGAATCTCATTCTGAGATTGGCGCTGTTCAGTACATCTGAATGTTCTTCATGCTGTTTGCTACAGTAGCTGCTAGGCTCAGGTGGCTATTGGGCATTTCAGATGTGGCTCATGGGACTCAGGAACTGATAACTTGTTCATTTAAATGTAGCGCCCTATGTGGCCAGTGGCTTCACAGTGGAGAGTGCCATTTCAGATGTATGACTGCAGCTCATTTTAGTAGCATCTGTAGGGACTGCTATTCCCTCTCTTCTCCTTAAACCCCTCCCCTCCTGGTGAAGAAGTCTTAACTTCTGGATGCAGGATATTTTCTGAGTTTAATTTTTGTTGCTTTAATTCTAACAGTGTGAAGAGTGCCAGTGCTGGCAGCATGGGGTCTGCATGGGATTACTGGAAGAAAATGTACCTGAGAAATACACCTGTTATGTTTGCCAAGACCCTCCAGGTAGAGATTTCTGGAGTCAGGGATGTTAACAGTGTGTAGTCTTTTCCTTAGTACAGCTGGCTGTGAAACATCCTAAGTGTCTGTGTTACTGCGATGCATTTCTTTGGCACCAACTAGACTTCCACTTGTCTATGCTTTTGTTGCTGGCCCACCTGATTTCTGGCTTTCCCCATCTCAGCAGCCTGAGAATGTATATGAAGAAGCTCACCTAGAAGGCCTGGCCTTGAGCTAAAACATTTCCTTTCTTTATTTGTGCCTTTAAAAAAATCAAATGAAATATCTAACCTCTTATATTTAAGTATATGTTTAATGTTCCTAGTAAGCACTATGATGTATAGCAGCTTTCTGGCCTGCCTGAAACTCTTTAAAGGATATTGGGAGCTGGGTGTGATAGAACATGCCTTTCATCCCAGACCTTGGGAGACTGAGGCTGTAGGATCTTTGTGAATTTGAGGCCAGCCTGAGCTACATAACTAGTTCGAGGCCAGCCAGAACTACAAAGTGAGACCCTGTCTCAAAAAAACCAAAATACTTAATCTTAGCCAAAATGCTGAGAAGCAATCTAAAAAACAAACTAACTAAAAAAGGATATTGGGTACTCCATGAATTAGCCTGACATCTTTGCTTAGGAACCTGTTCATTTTCTCTGTACTATTTCAGTTCAGCATATGTGTTGTTGCAGTAAGCACTTTTTCCTTTCCTTAGAGTTTGTGAAGGTTGGCATGTGTGCTCTGCTATTGGAAGGTTAGAAAACTGCCTGTGCTACCAGTGTTGGCATCTGCTCTCCACTGCATCGCTGCCACTTGGAAAGAGATACGGCCTGGGGGATGGACAGAGGCATGGCTGCTTAGAGACTGTTGCTACCTGGTGCATTGTCTTGATTGCTTAGCACAGTTAGTTTCATGGTTAGTTACATGGTTACAGGTCACCTGTAAACATCCCTCTGGAATGGGAAGCACATAAACCTGTGGTTCTTGTTCTGCAAGGGTAGTGATATCATCTAGCCTTACCACCTGTGAGGTGTCTCCCTCAGCTCCAATATGTTGATTGCTGCATAGCTCAACAATGGTTGGAAACCTCTCGTTGTGTTAATCTGCTTGGTTCTGTGAACTGGGACTGGTGGGGTCTTCTACCCCTAGTTTTGCTTATGAGGAAGAAATTGATACCCATAGATGACATTTTAAATCCATTATGCAATGAGAATGAGAACTGGCCTGCAGGGCCACATCTCTGGAATCTGCTGGTTGTATAGAAAGGACCTGGCAATCCTGATTTCAGCAAGCAGGTCCTCTCCAGGCTGAAAGGCTTTGTTGAGACACTATTTGTATTAGCTTATTCCCTAAATGGCAGATAATCTGCTTCCATTTGTCCCTTTATCCTAAGAGTGTGGTCAGACAATTAGGTGAGTAACGAGACCCAGAAGGGGTATGACTTGGCTAGGGTCACTCTACCAGTTAATGTCAGATGAGAGCTGAAATCAGTTGTCTCTGACCTTTGTCTTGTAAAACAGATGCTGCTGCTCTGAATCCTACTGCTAACACCATTGCCTGCAGCAGATACGGGCTCCTTGGGGCACCTTTTCAAGCTCTTTCTTCATCGTTTCTTCACTTTTCTCCCTATAAATCATATCTACCATCTTCATGAAGTCCTGTGCACTTTTTGAACTTAAACTTTGTATGCTTTTTTTTTTTTTTTTTAATTTAACTTAAAACATTTTTTTTTTTTTTTTTGAGACATGGTCTTACTTTGTATCCCAAGCTGGCCATGAATTCCTGTCAGTCTTTCTGCCTTAGCCTCCCAAGGGCTGCTGTCACAGATGTGTACCACTACCCAGCTAACAGGTTTCTTCCTTTTTTTCTTTTCTCTTTCTTTCTTTTTTCTTTTGTTTTTTGTGTTTTGAGATAAGGTCTCACTTTGTAGTCCTCTGTGGCCTTCATGTTACTATGTAGCCTAGGCTGGCCTTAGGCTTGTGACGATTCTCCTGCCTCAGTGTCCCGAGTACTGGGATTACAAGCATGTGTCACACGGGCAGCTACAGATTCATTTCTTAAAGGTTACATAAAATGGTTTTAACAGAATCATAGTGTATCTCCACCATGTACATTAGTACAACTAGAGAGATCCAGAACTTTGGTAGGGATTATATGGGCTATTTCAGGGTTTTAGTAGTTATTGACAGGTTAACAACAGTCTGGTTAGCAGCTATTTGGGCTTTTGAGAAAATGTTGCAGCATCCTGTCCTTGTTTCGAGTCCTTCCTAAGAAGCTCAGTAATGAGCAAGCCTATTGAAGCCTTCCAGTTCTGTTGTGCAATGGACTGGACTGTTAGCAGAGATCCAGAGAAGAGAAAGGGGCCTGATTCTTTGTTTAGTTAGCTGGTATAGTTGGAATCCTGGAGTTTCTTTTCATTCATTTGATAAATCAATTCAAGATGCTTTTTGCTAGGCACTGGCACTGCAGCCACGAGCCAAATTGATTCCTACTCTTTTGGCTCTTAGTGCATTTGGAGACGGAAACATTTAAAAAAAAAAAAACAAAAAACAAAAAACAATGATGCCATGAATGGTGGGGCATGCCTATAATCCCAGCACTTGGGAGAGTGAGGCAGGAGGATGGGTGTGAGTTTGAGGCCAGCCTGAACTACATAGCAAGACCTTGTCTCAAAAAAAACAAAAACAAGGTCCTCACCTGTGAACCAGCTGGAGTGGGGAGAAAAGAAACTAAGCCCCCACCTGTGAGCCAACCAGTGCACTTGCTGGGGAGAGAACACCCCCCCCCCATTCTACCCTCCAGCAACCAGCTGATCCGGAGGAACTATATTGTTTGATTGACTTTGCAAGCCTAAAGTCAAGCAGTTATTTAGAGGACAACAATGTGCAATATGCAATATTATAACTATTGTCAATTTCCTACTGTCTTATCACTGTCAGTTGATTTTATTGCTGTTTTATTTCCTTTAAAATTAAATAAAAACAAAACTGGCTTTTCACATTTAAGATTAAAACTAGACCCATTTCACCATTCACTAAACTCTAAAATCAAAATGGATCAAATATCTAAATATTAAAAAAGAAACACTAAATCTGCTGAAAGAGAGAATAGGTAAAACTCTTAAAGACATTGATGTTTTTGGACAGAGGATTTATGAATAAAACGGACTGCACGGGACCTGTCACAATCAGCAACTGGGATCTCATCTCATTAAAAAGCTTTTGCACAGCAAAAGAAACCACCAACAGAGTAAAGAGACAATCCCCAGTGTGGAGAAAAATTTTTACCAGCTGTTTCTCAAAGAACTAACATCTAGAATATATATATGAAATCAGACCCCCCCCCCAATTTAAAGACCCAACCCTACATTGGGCATCTGAAATGAATAGACATTTTTCAGGTGAAGAAGTGAAAAGATCAAATAAATATAAGATGTTTGACATCCCTGTTCACGTGAGAGATGCAAATTAAAGCACCACTGAGATTCTCACTACTGAAAGAATGGCTGTTATCCAGAAATCAACCAATAACAAATGATGGTGTGGCTGTGGGGAAAAAGGAACCCTTTGTGACTGTGGGTGGGAACGCAGACTGGTACAACCACTGTGGAAATCAGTGTGGAGATTCCTCAAAAAACTAAGACCAGAGGTTCCACTTAACACAGCTGTTCCCCTTCTTGGTATCATCCCAAAAAGATTAAAAGCATCATACCACAGCAATATGTATACATCCACGTTTTATAGCAGCACAGTTTGTAATAGCTAACAGCCCAACAGCAAATAGCCCAAATGCTCATCAACTGATGAATAGATAAAGAAAATGTTGGTTTTTTTTTTAAATGCAGTAGAGTACTATTCTGTAATAAGGATAAGTTTAAGATATTTCTAGCTAAATGGATGCATCATGAAACTATACTCTTTTAGTGAAATAAATTACACGCATGTTTAAATACTTTGTTTTTCATTGAGAAACCTGAAGTGACCAAATAGGTGATTTAAAAAAAAGGACCAAAATGTAAAATAGATATTAGAGAATGGGAATAAAATGTTCAACTAAGAAGGGGAACAAGGGAGGAGGAAAGGAAAGAAGGGACAAGAAAAAGAGTAGAAGGAAAAAATGGAAATAAAGGATTTGTAAATGAGGAGGGAAAGGAGTTGAATGGAGGGAGGAAAATGGGGAAAAAAGCAATATGTGTCAGGTATCAGTTTCCTATGATGAATATCTAAAATGTACCAATAAATATTTTTTTAAAAACTGAACAAAACAAACCAAAGAACTAGAGTTAAATAATCAAGGCTATGATAGGTAATGATAATGCTGTGAGGGAGAAAGATGGTAAGAGAGGGAATGACTAGGACTCCTGAAAGATCCTCTGAACTTTGGGATAGAGTAAGGAGCTAGCCTTGCAAAGGTGCAGTAGGCCAAAAAGGCCAAACCTAGGAAGTTTCTTTGTGTTCAAGAAACTGAAAGGATAGACGAGGCATGGTAACCCACACCTGCAATCCCCGAATTCAGAAGGCTAAGACTGAAGCAGAATTATGTTCAGCTCAAGACCAACCTGAATTACACTGTCTCAAAAAAAAAAAAAAAAAAAAAAAAAAAAAAAAAATTGAGGCCACCATAAGGATGGGAGAAGAGGGAGGAAGGAGCTTCAGTAAGCCATAGTTAGATCTTGGATATTTTTCTGTGAGTAGTAGAAAGCTGTGGGTGGTTTTAGGTGGGAGAGTAATCATAGGATTTAAAGAGATAATCCAGGTGCCTCTTTCACTTCTAGACAGTTCCTAGAAATTAGGAAGTGGCATATTTTATTCACTACTTTAACCCCCAATAGTTGGTAGAAAGCCCAGCATAGGGTAAGTGTCAAGCAAATGTATGTTGAATAAATAAGTGAACAAAATGAGCACAGTAATCCATCCTTCCATTAGTTTCTGTGATGATTGTGCAATACTGATAAAACACCCTGGATTTCCTTCAGGCCATGTTTAACCCTATCCCTGTCATTGCTTTAGGTCAGAGGCCTAGCTTTAAGTATTGGTATGACAAGGAGTGGTTAAGCAGAGGACATATGCATGGCCTAGCATTTTTGGAAGAAAACTACTCCCATCAGAATGCTAAGAAGATTGTGGCCACCCATCAGCTTCTTGGGGACGTGCAGAAAGTGATCGAGGTTCTACATGGCCTACAGCTCAAGATGAGCATCTTGCAGTAAGTGTGTTACCTGCCAGTTTTGGGGAGAAGTCTGGTTGATATCAAATGGAGGTAGGATAAATTCGAGAGGTCAGAAAGCCACAAAAATCATAAAACTCATGAGTTTAAGACCTTTACTAAAAATGTTCAGTTACATGGTAAATAAATTCCTTTTTTTAAGAAGCATACCTATCTTACTGGAGTGGGAATGTGGCTAGTGGTGGAGTACATGTCTACCATATGTGAGGCCCTGATTTCAGTCCCCAGTACCGGAAACAGACACTTAAATACTGTATACTGAGGAATATTTTGTGTATAATTAAGTTCATCTATTTTAAACTATATTGAATTTTGACAAATCTATGCAATCAACATCATAATTATGTTGCTTTATAGCTTATTTTGTGTGCAGTTCTTGTTTTTTTGCTTTCAGTTGTGCTAAAATATACGTAGTCTAAAATTTGACATTTAAGCCATTTTTGTTTTGTTTTAAAAACGGAGTCTCACTAAATTGCCCAGGATACTCTTGAATTCCTGGGCTCAGGCCATCTTCTGCCTCAGTCACTGGGACTATGGGCACATTCACCTGCACCCAGCTTCCTTTTTTGTTCCACCCCTTTTTTTGTGGTACTGGATATTGAACATAGAATTTCTTTTCTTGTTTCTCTCTTTCTTCTTTGAACAGGGTTTCGCTATATAGTTCAGCTTGACATTGACTTGTGTAGGCCAAGCTGGTCTCCCATCTCACAGCTGTCTTCACTCCTCAGACTTCTGAGTGCTGGGAGTAAAGGCATTGGCTGACCACGCCCAGCCAGAAATTCTTTCTAAGGCTGAATTATGTTTCATTGTATGAATAAAATTGAGAGCTATTGAAAGGGTGATTGTTGGCTGGCTTCCTTTCTAGCATAGTAGTGTCTCCCACATATAATACCTGTCTATTGCTCATACAGAAAAATGTTAGGGCATTGTTTTTTTTTTATATATATATGGTTTGGGTTTTTTTGAGGTGGGGAGCTACCAGGAATGGAGCTTATGACCTTGGCTTACCAAGCAGGCACTGTGCTACTGAGCTGTTCCTGGCTCCTCTTTTTCTTTCTTTGTTGGGAGTTACCGAGGATCAAATTCAAGACCTTGTACTTGCCAGGCACTTACGTCACTGAACTAAATCCCTGCCCCCCTCCATTTTTTTTTTTTCTTTTGTACTGGGGATTAAACTCACGACCTTGACCTCGTGCTTGCCAGGCAGGCACTTATGCCACTGAGCTAAATCCCCACCCTCCAGCTTCTGCCTCTCCATTCCTTTTTAAAAATAGTTTTGAGACAGCATCTTGCTAGGTCAGGTCTTGACCTTATGATTTTCCTGCCTCAGCCTCCCAGAGAACTAGGTGATGTGTTTGCCATCACATCTAGAGACTTCTGGCTTTTAGTAACTTTTGGCTTTAAGTTTCACGAGTGAATATGAGTATGAATTCCCTGCTGTGGATGCATTCTAAATGATTCAAGTTTATGTAACCTCTGATAAAGACATGGCTTTGACTAGGGTCTCTTTTGTTTTTTATACTTACTGGAGTCTGTTTTTTATAAGCTAATCTACTTTACTAAATATAATAACTGGGGGCCTTGAGTAGTCACTCTTTCATGGTTTCCAGGGGTGGAGTCAGGACAGAAATCTAGATCCTGCCTTACACTTCTCTAATGGCCTGTGTCCAGTGCTGTAGCATGACTATGTACATTTTCTTCTGGCCTTAAGTATAGTCATTGATAAGGGCTGCTTCTCTTTTATAAAGATCTCTCCTTAAATTTTCTTATGAACTTTCCCACAAGAGGTCATTTTATTTAAGTCATAACCAGTGACAAATTAGTTCCCTGAGTGAATTAGACTTGGTAGGGCACTGTCCAACAAGATGTCCTCATGTTGACTGATCCTGGAGACCTCCTGGTGCCAGGCAGTTCAGTGCTAGAGCCCTGAGATGGCAGGATGGGAGTCTGCTTTCTCTTATGTACCCTGGCACACCCAGGTCTGGCCTTAAGTCCTGACATGACAAAAAGGGTCTGAGCGGGGACATTCATTCAGCAAGAGTATAGTCTTGGGGCTGGGGATTTAGCTCAACGGCATAAGCGCCTGCCTTGCAAGCAGGCAGTCCTGAGTTTGATCCCTGGTACCGATAAAAAGGAAAAAGACAAAAAAACCAAAAGAGTATAGTCTGGTTGGGGTAAAAGTTAAACTGCTATAACAAAGTCCTGTCCTAGGTACTTTCTTGTTGCTGGGACAAAATACCTGACATCCACAATTTAAAGGAGGAGAAGTTTATTTTCTTTCACAGTTTCAGCCCATAGTCACCTGGCTCTAAAGCATAGATGGGGTGCTGGGGATTTAGCTCAGCGGCATAAGCACCTGCCTTGCAAGCAGGCGGTTGTGAGTACTGATAAAAATGAAAAAGACAAAAAAAAAAAAAAAAAAAAAAAAGCATAGATGGGATGGTGAAGGGGCATGATGGAAGAAAAAGTGCTCAGTCCATGGCAGTCAGGAAGCAGAGAGTCACAGGGAGAGCCGAGGACCTTCCAGGTCACATTGCCCCGTAACCCACCTCTTTGAAACCAGGCTCCTGTCCTAACAGCATATTTAGCTCGTACTAATCAGTGGACTAATCCACTGATGAATTTAGTGTTCTAACAATCCAACACCTTCCAAAACCTCCACCTATGGAAAGATGAGCCTTTTGGGGGGATGTTCTGGATCCAAACCAAAACAGACCCCCAAATAGAGACTTGAATGAAATAGAAGTTTCTTTCTCACATAATAACTGGCTCAGGGATAGGCAGGAGTCTGTAGTCTTGGGGAATGGCATTACTGCTCTGGCATTCTTCCAGGATTTTCCTCATGTGAAAGACCTTCCCGTTCTTTGATTGCTCAGGATTACCCGCATCCACATGGTTCAAGCAGTCACACTTGCACCTTACCTCTGCCCTAGACCCTAGGAGTGGAAAGAGAGAAGGAAGAAGACATAGAGGCTAGCCAGTGGCCACTGGCCCTGCTCAGACTCTGGAGTGTGTATGACAGTGAGGTGAACTAAATCAGATGACAGCCTTGGACAGGATGCCAGATGCTGTGCAGTCCTGTTGAATAAAACAGGAAAACATTACCCACGCAAATCACAGGAATTGGCTGTTAATGAGATGCCAGAAGTTGAACAGGTAGAAGGTGGTCCCTGTGTGGGCCTAGAAAACCTCATCCTGGTTGATTCTGTCAGATGGTATTTTTTCTCCTCCTCACTGGATTGCCAATGCCCTGGCCCAGTCCCATATGTGGAATCATGTTTTTTCTGAATCCTGGTTTTTATCTTTTTATCTTATTAGAAGTAACTTTGTACAGGAATTAAATATGATTTCTAGCAATCCAGAACAGAGTATGAGGAGAGCTATTAATCTTGAATGAAGATCCTGAAAAGGGGAAGTTTGGTCTCAGTATGTCTGTATGTACATGGATAGTGTCTGCTTCCATGGGTTCTGGGTCTTCTCAGAACAAATCATTTTTTAAATGATCCGTTTTTTAAAAGACAATAAAACTGTTACAAAGTTTAGAGAATCTGTCATTAAAAGAAGTTAATATGGCAGCTGTGGGGTAGTCTAGGAGGGCTCTGCTAATATATCGATTCCCCCTGTGCTGCAGCAGAGTTCCTATCAAAATGATTGACAAGACTTGCAAGGAAAGGACAAGGTCATTCATTGTTAAGAAGAAGACACTGAAACTCTTCTTTAGCAAGAACGGTAAACAGTGTAGGAGCAAGGAAGCAGAAGACTTTTGACTTATGTAAAGAGCAGGTCTGTGTTAATGGCTCATGTGCTCCATGTCAATGAATTTCAATGACAGTGAACCTGGAAACTAATAATGATTTCCATTTTCCCTGTACAATTATAATTTAGGAGGTGTGTTGAGTTTTTTTACGTTCCTGATATAGGGTCCCATACCTTGCTTCAAAGTGGCTCAGTGACTCAGGCCACCTTGATGTCAGTTGCTTCTCTTTTTCCTCACTGGATAGAGGTGGCATAGGATTACAGGAGTGGGAGAACTGAGAAAGGATAATTAGAGGCAGTTCAGACCAAAATTTTAGGTTCTGCAACGTAACTCCATGCCTTCATGTTTATGGTCAATTCTACTTCTTCAGGAAGATTTCAGGTAAGAGGTGAGAGGGCAGGAAATCCCCAAATATGCTTTCAATGTTTCTAAAGGCTGGAAAGGTTCTGTGGGAGTTCTGCTATGGGATTATTATTCTTTTGTTTTTTTGAGACAGGGTTTCACCATGTAGTGCAAGTCATTCATGTAGCCCAGGCTGGCTTTGAACACATGGCAATCCTCCTACCTCAGCCTCCTAAGTGCTGGGATTATAGACCTGCACCATCTAGCATGCCTACCTGTCTTAGAATAGTGACTGATATTTTCTGTTCTGTTTTTTCCTTTTTATTAAAAAAAATTTATTAGCACATGTTTGCAGTACATAACAATTACTTTCATCATGGGGAGTTGGTACATGTATATATCTTAAACATTTTTATATCACCTTTTTGCCTATTGATTATGGTCCATTAAATTAAATTAATAACCCTAGATTGGGTTGAAATTCAAGAGGGAATGATTCTAGTTCTCAGAAGAGTTTATGGCCCTACAAAGGATAAGGATATCTGTCCTTTGCTTTAATAATAAACTTGTCTCTTTGAAATGGTAAGAATAGATATATAAAAGTTTTTAGAGACTTTATTATTAATATGTATACATAGAAACAAATATCCATACATTCCTCCCACCCCATCATCATTGCATTTTGAGTAATTGAGTGTTACATAGCAGAATTATTGTGACAGTTAATCTGTTTATTTTGGTTTTGAGACAAAGTCTCACTCTGTGACTCAGACTGCCCTTGAACTCACTATGTGGTAGAGCTCAGGGCGATCTTCTGCCTCAGCCTCCTGAGTGCTGGATTGCAGGTGTGTGCCACCATGTCTGGCTTGTGAGTATTTATTAAGATTATTTTTAGTAAGCTACATTTGAAGAGCACTTTAGTACCAACCAAGTACTTCATTCAAATTAATTCACATTTTATAAAGCTCAGTGTTGGTGACTGGTAGAAGACTAGCCTAGTTCCCAAAGGAGGAAGTAGGAACAAGATTGCATATGACTTGTCAAAGTTGTACTGCTAACCTACAGCTGAGACTGGTCCCACTCACTGCTTATGTCTACAGTGGGAGCTACTGGGAAGTTGAGGGATTTATGTTCAGTCTTGCTTGGCCAATAGTGTTGTGTGGTCAGATGACACAGGTGGGCACTGCTCTCTTTGAAAGAATATTTGGGAATTGAAAAGCTGTACAATGGTACCAGTATCCCAAAGCCCTTTATCTGTTCATCCTCCCAACAGAAGCAGGGAGCATCCTGATCTGCAGTTGTGGTGCCACCCTTGGAAACAGCACTCAGGAGAAGGGAGAACTCATTCCAAACACATCCATGTCCTGGATGCCAGGAGCAAGGAAGAAGCCCCCAGCTATAGAACTTTGAATGGGACAGTAGAGAAGCCCCTACCCTTGCCCCAGTCTGTAGAGGAATCCTACATCACCAGCGAACACTGCTACCAGAAGCCGCGGGCCTACTATCCTGCTGTGGAACAGAAGTTGGTGGTAGAGACACGTGGCTCTGCCCTTGATGATGCAGTCAACTCACTCCATGAGAATGATGATCCCCTCTCCCCTCGCCTGGGCTGGCCTCTGGACCAAGAAACGAACAGAGGGGACAGCGACCCCAAACCTAGCCCCCCAAAGGTATGTGATTTGCTTGAACTGGTTCTTCATTGGTGTTTGAGTACTTGTAAATTCCCTGCCTTTGGTTACATGATCTGTGTAAGATATTTCTTAGTAGAACTGTGTTTAAATTTGCTTATCATAGGTGTTTTTGATCTGTTAAAATGAAATGGAGGCAGAAGAGCTCACATATGCCAAAGATCATTAGTTCTAAGAAACCCCATGAAATGGCGTAGTCAGAGTGGATAAAGAGTAGAAAGATGGGAAGCAGCAAGGAGAGAGGATTGACTGAAACTCAGGAAAAAAAAAAAAAAAGAAACTAAATTAAGAAAATCTATCTTTTTTTAATACCAGTTACATGACATTTGTACTTGGGTGCTAATTATTAGCATAATCAATGAGTCAAGTGTTTTGTTAGGCATAGTATTTTCAATAAAATTGTAATTTTTGGCTTTTAATTTTGTAACTGTCATATTTCATTGAAGTATTTGCTGCATTTAGCACTTTTCTGAAGAACTACTCTCAGTTGTTTGTTAGTTTATAGTAATTTTCTTCTGAAATTCACTGTGTCATACTATATTGGCCAGTGCTCACTAGTTTCATTGTGCCTGTTCCCGTTTTTTAGTGAGACTTATGTGATTTCAGAGCTTCTCTGCCCTTGACATACTTTCAGAGACTTTATTTTGTGTGTTGGTATCACCAGTGTTAAAAACTTGTGCCTTTACTAGCGTCTAAAAAGTGTTGGGTGGGGATGTTAAACACACAGTATAGTGAGACAGATGTCATTCTAAGTCTGGGCTCAGCCACTTTGTGATTCTGAGAGGGTTGCTTCCCATTCCTGATCAGACTTATTCCCTCACCTGTAGAAGAAGCCAGTAACCATGCCCTTCAGTTATGGTGGAATGTGTTTCTGAAAATCTCGCAGCACATTTCTTTGCACATACTAACCCCTAAATTCATTTTAGCTGAAATGTATTTTATTTCAAATGAAAGAATGAAGTCAGGCATGGTGGTGCATACCTCTTAATTCCAGCCCTCAGGGTGACTGATCCAGGAGGATCAACAAATTTATGCCCAGCCTGAGCAATTCAGAGGCTTAGTGAGACCCTGTCCAAAAATAATAAAGAGAGGCTGGAGATACAGTTCTTTGTGTAGGCTCTGTGTATAATGTCTAGTACCACAAATAAACTAATAATGAATGAAAAGTTGAGATTGCAAACTCCAGAAAAGGCTTACAACACTGTGGACTAGGCAGGTTTCCTAGAAGTGTCTGGCACATAGTATAAAATCAGGAAATACTAAAGTAGGGCAACCAGGATTAAAATCTTTTCCAGTGATGATGTATTGACTCTTAACTGGTATTGTGTTTATTTTTTATACCATACCCTATTTCATTCTCATGAACCTTCAGTGTGACAGGAAAGAGCTCACCAGAACCACATATTCAGCAAGAGATGGAGCGAGGACTCTTCAAACTCACATGCCTGCTATGTGTTAAATCATACCCCCACTAGCTTTACTAGTCAACTCTGAGGGATGTGAGTGTGTAGGGCATTGGGCCAGCCATGCAGAACCATCTGCTGGCCTGAGGAGGTGACATGGTGCAATGGGAAGTTTCTATCCAGTCCCCAAATGAGAAGGAACAAAAGGAGATAAAGATTTGGAATATTAGACCACAGCTGGTTTTTCAGAAGATTGCAAACACTGACTGGTTGGAAGCTCTCTCCATGCAGTAACTTCAATGTCATTATATCCCCAGGTGAGGGACTGTGTCTCCAAAAAGGTCCTACCAGAGGAAGCCTCTGCTCGGAAGCTGCTGGACAGAGGTGGGGAGGGGTTGGTGAGCTCCCAGCATCAGTGGCAGTTTAACCTGCTGACACATGTGGAATCTCTTCAGGACGAAGTCACGCACAGGATGGACTCCATTGAGAAGGAACTGGATGGTAGGGCTCTTTCCTCGGCCCTCTGGCCATTAGCATGTGCTCTGTTATCCCTTCTGCCCCTCAAGCTGCTTTTTGCTTTGTTTTTGAAAATAAGGTCTCTCTATGTTGCCTATGCTGATTTTAAATTTGTGAACTCAAATGATCCTCTCATCTCAGCTTACTGAATAGCTAAGAACATAAATACCTGGCTTTTGCTGATTTCTGGACACACACCCTCACCCTCCAATCTGGCTATCTGGGGACAGCTATATTCTAGCCTCTTGTTTTCATCCTCACCCACCTCCATTCTCTGGCCAAGGAGGGGCAAGTTTATTTTTAGTATTTATTGGACATTTACAAAGTCTGATGATAGCAGGGATTCAGCCCCTTCTTCAAAAGTGATATGCAGAGCTGAGGCTGAAGCTCAGTGGTTAGAACATGTGCTCAGCATGCAGGAGGCCCTGAGTTGAATTTCCAGAATTACAAAAACGGGTACACACATAGAACAGTTGGATCCTATTCACAGGAAACATAATCTGAGTAAATCTTTATGAACAAAACTCTTCAGGCTGACCTTGAACTCACTATGTAGCCCAGACGTGCCTCAAACATGCAGTGATCATTTTTGCCTCAGCCTCCCGAGTGCTGGGATTACAGGCATGTGCCACCACACTTGGTGTCTTGTTTACTTTTTTCTGATTGGTTTTCAATTTTAAAATCGAGCCCACTTTAGAAATAAATGTTCTGTTGAGGATTCTATGTATAGTCAGGCTATGATGACTATAACTGAGGATATAAAACATATATGAAGCTGGGCATGGTGTTGTGCATGTATTATCCCAGCATTTGGGAGGCTGAGAAGTAACAGAAAAATGCCATGTTACACAAGCCAGAATCATGGGGTGTGTGGTCAGGACACCTATGTGGCTTAGGCTGTACCAGACCAAGAGAGTACTGGCAGGAAACTTTCCTGGAACGCCTGGGCCTGATGCCAGACCTTGAAGGGAGCAGTGATATTTTTTTGCTGAAGGAGAGAGTCAGGATAGACAGAAGACTGGATCAGTGGCTAAAAGGAGTTCCCTAGTGGAAGACAGATTGGGGGAAAAGGAAAGATAGACTGTGTCTTTGGGCGTATGTCATGCCTCCTGAGGACAGCCTGAGATCATTTCTGAAAGGATGTTTCTGCCTCTTTTTTATTCCTAAAAAGTTCATTTGGGCTCGTTGGAAGTATAAGTGATGCCACTGTTTAAAAACATGTAAAAGTGTATATTTTGAAACAGTATTGGAATTGGCTCTGCGTCCCTGAAAGGAGCCTGACACCATCAAAACGATGAATGTTCTGTTGTTGCCAAAGAATCTGTTGTTAGGGATGAAGTCAGAACCTATGCAGATCTTACTTCCCTCTACCCCTTGGCTCCCCCACTGGGCAGTATGGCAAGATGATAACACGTGGACTCTTTCTAAAGCCTCCGTGTTCTGGCGATTGGTGTCCCACATATTCCTACGTATTATAATACTCCAAATTCTGAGAAGTACCAAGGAATGACGAAAATCAGTGAAATCTTTGAAAGCTTAAAGATTTTATTTAAGCAGTCAGACTTGTGCACTGTTTTTTGAGTTAACAGAATCCCTTTTAGGGAATTAAATCTTAAGTTCATTTAAAATTTTCAATTCAGTAGGAGAGACCCATTACTGACAATTAGAACCTGTGATTCTATACTCAGGAAGCTAAAGCAGGAGGACTGCTGCAAGTTCAAGGCCTGTCTGGGCTACATAGCAAGACCTAGTCTCAAAAAACAAAACTAAAAAAAATTAGAAACCATGGAAAGTGCTCACAGGAATATGTGATACCGTAACATGAGTAACACAGGGTCTAGATTCAGAGTGTAGAGTTTGGAAAGGCATCTTTAAGAAAGGAATAACATGGAGGAAACAAAGGGCATGGAGGAATTGAGGATTAGATGGTAGGTGGCAGGCTGCTTGAAGAATGGGCACTGGGAGGGTCTTCCCATTTCTGAACTCTAGCATCCCAAAGATACTCAGTACAGGTTGGTGTATGCACTAGAAAGGTATAGGCAGGTTGAGCTAAGCACAGGGCCGCTGGAGGGGCTGGCCCTTGTCAAAGGTACAAGGTTCCTAGATGGCCTTTTCACAAACGCCAAAGCTTCAGGGGTTTCCTAGGGGAAGAACAGCTTTTTATAGAGAAAGTCATGAGCTCATAAGCAAGACAACTTTCCATTAGTACTCATACATCTTATGTTAAATACTTAAAGGAATGAATTGGGAATTTAGCTTAGTTCTGGAATGCTTGCTAGCAATCCTGATACCATGGGTTCCCAGATCAGAGGAAATAAGAATTATGTATCAATCAGGAATCACAAAACAAACCAAAAGTGGTGGTAAAACAGATGCTATTAAGTCCCTGTAGGTTTTCTTTTTTTTTGCTAGGTGTGGTGGTGCACATTTGTAATCTCAGCATTTAGGAGGCTGAGGCAGGAGGATTACCATGAGTTTGAGGACAGCCTGGAATATATAACAAGACTCAGTCCCAAGACAAATAGAAAAGATTTTCATTTTTCTATGCAAGCTAAAACACCAAGCTGTCTGATTGCTAACATAGGAATGCTTTAGAAAGAATGGGTAGTGACACTGAGAAGGAGGGTGCTTCAAAGTCTTTTAGATTATATACTAATACAGTAACAATTAGCAATGTGTGGTTACTTAATTAAAATCAAATAAGGTTTAGGTCCTTAGTTGCAGTAGGCTATGTTTCAAGGACTCAACAGCTGTATATGGCCAGTAGCTACTGTGTTGGACAGCATAGATGCAGATCATTTCTATTGTCACAGAGTTCCTTTGATCTGTGTGGCTGTGACATAGTTGACTCTGTCTTCGGAGTAATGTGTTGTGGGATAGATGCTGAGACATTGCAAAATGGTCATTCTTCCCCTCTTCCATATGTGGTTAGGTGGGAGAAGGACGTGAAACTCTTGCTGAGGTTCTTACAAGTCAAATGTTGTGAGCTCACTGGATCTTTCTTTCTGCCAACAGTGCTGGAGAGCTGGCTGGACTACACTGGGGAGCTGGAGCCCCCGGAGCCACTGGCTAGGCTTCCACAGCTCAAGCATTGCATCAAGCAGCTGCTGATGGACCTAGGCAAGGTGCAGCAGATTGCTCTCTGCTGCTCCACATGAAACACATATTTAAATAAACCTAGCATGCTGAATGCACGTGACACTGACTGACTTCAGGGATCTGGCCAGGAGTGTGATGAACATTGGAAAAAAGAGGCCATTTTGGCTGCTGGAGGGCAGGGCACTGTCATCTTGGAATCCTACCAAGAAGGTAGCAAATAGACTCTTGGGATTCCCTTCTGTGCACATCACTGAATGGAGAGAGTCTTTTTGCACAAACTTCACTTGAAATTGTGCCACTGTTGATGACAAATGGAATGAGAGCCAAAAAAATTTAGTTGGAAACAGTTGTAAATTCAGTCTTCAGTTTATTTAATGGACTTTGCTGTCAGGTTGCGGGTACTTGCCAACCTTTCTTGTTTTGCCTGGGATGAAGTTTAGGCAGCAAGCACCCTTTTCATTTTCCAGCTTCATGGGAATATTGGGACTTCACCACGCTGTGGAGGTTGGGAAGGAGCAGAGGCCTCAACTGTCCTGCCTTTTCCTTAGGATGCTTCACTTTTCTTACCACATCTCTTGCATGACTTCATGGTACCAGGGACAAGTTTTGTATGCTTTTCACCCGGAATTGCCTGGGTCGTGGCTTTGTCAGAGTCTGTACAGCCAGTGGAACAACTAGAATTGTAATAAGAATTCTAGGAGGAATTCCAGATGGAAGTAGGCAGGGTCTGGAACCCAAAAGACACTTCTTAATGTTGACAGCTTACCAGTTCTATTTAAAGTCCAAAAAATGTTTCCCAAAATTTTGAACTCTTTCACTGTAAAGATGTATCACAAAGAATGTGGTTTGGGGAGTTACTTCATTTTATATTGTCAACAAACTCAAATTCTGTTTTGCCACTTTTCTCCTTTCCTGAAGGGTATGTCCACTAGTTGGCATTTTCAGAATTGTTAATATACTTAACACTTTGAAGTTCTTATTTGTATTACTTTGTGAGATCAAGGTGATTATGCTGCTTAAGAGTTAGGTATAACCTGTTTGTACCTTTCAAGACATTTATGTTATTTTTGTAGGTTACAGTTCCATGTATAATTGCTACATTTTGTTTCCTTCCCATACAAATTCAAAGAAAATGTCCCATGCTTTGAAGAACGACCATTTTATCTTTTCTTATCACTAAAGGCAAAAGTCAAAGCATAGTTGCCTGTTAACACGAGTTAATTATGGGTTTATGAATCTGTAATGTTACATGCTGCAGATATTTACTATATAAACATGAAGCTGCCAATATTTCTATAGCACTGATAGTATCTCCAGAGACTTCTACAATGGTTAGGCTTTAAGGCATGAATGCAGGAATTCAGGCCTCTGTACTAAGATGTTTCAGGGAATGCGGTCAGGCAATGTTTGCCATTTGATGTAAAATAAATTATAGGACAAGTTGACCTGTGCAACTTACCCATCACAGGGAATACATGCAGCTGTAATATTTAATAATGAAACTGACCTAATTCCTCTACAAGAGGCAGTTTGCCTTTGCTAACACTGGTGTTTCTGGTATAAGAAATACTTAAAAGAGTATGTATGGCATCTATGCTTTAGGTAATTTATCAGACAGCTGCAGCATGAGAAATGTGTGGTACTTTTCTAAAAAAGGAAAAGGCACAGATCATTTTCTGTACCCACAACTATGAGGTATGATGACAGTTGTATTACTGTTTTCTTTTCTGAAATTACACTTGAGTATATTTGGGGAAGCTGTAACTTTTAAGGTAGTTGATTCTGTATCTTTAAGAGGGAAGCAGAAACTCAAGTTTTGTCAAGTGGTTCTTACGGGGTTTACCATTTAGGTTTATAAAGGAAATAATCCTGTTTGACTCCTTGTTACATTTGTTCTTAGGGAAGCAGGGAGACCCCCCAAGTTCTGATAACCTCTGTGTTTCCCTAATTTAAAGCCATGTTGAGGGGCTCCATTCCAATTTCTGGGTCTAGGTTAATTAACCCTAGGTTGGAGCCATTGGAAACTGTTATTTGCGAGTATTTCTGATACCATTTAGAAATATGTGCACTACCTAAGTTTTTGTCTATTGGGAAAAACTACCCACCTATAAAATATTGCCTTGACTTAAAAGTTCTGGTTTGACTAGTCATTTTGCTTCTTTAAGTGATAAGTAGGCCAGGTGGACCTTTGATGAGCCAATGTTGCACTGTGGATATATATATATATATATATATATATATATATATATGTTTATGTGCTATCAGAACAGAAGGTGCTGTATATAGAAATGTTGCTTTGCAGCAATATTTACAAAATACTCAAACTTCTGTGTCTGTATTTGGAAAAAATAAAACAGGTTCTTTGTTTCAGTCATGTATTACTGAGTATTGAACTCACAACCTTGCACTTGCCAGGTATGTGCAATATTCCACTGAGCCAAATTCCCAGCTCTATACTGTTCTTTATTCTATTTTTGAAAAAAATTTTGGGACAGTCTTACTGTGTAGCCTGCGCTGGCCTCCAATTAGTGATTTTCCTGCCTCAGCTTCCCAAGAGATAAGATTGCAGGAATGACCAAGCCTATTTTCCTGTCTTTAGTATATACTAAATCTTCTGTAACCATTTCTTTTTTAAAAAGATTGAACCGGGTCTTTGCACACAACTGCATTTCCAACCCTTTTTAAATTTTTAATGGAGATGGGCTAAGTTGTTCAGAGTGAGCTTGAACTTCCTATCATCCTGCCTCAGCCTCTCAAGAGTGCTGGGAACTACTGCTTAAATTTAGAATGTTAGAAACAATGCAAGACGGGCCAGGCCTTCGATTTAAAAAAAAAAAAAAAAGTACCATTGCAACAGGATCATTTTCTGATCAATTCAAGCTGCCAGTGTACCCTACCTACCTACTCCCTGGGTGTGAAGAAGCCACAAGGAAGAGTTGCCTTTAATATTTCATAGGTAGTCTTTTTTGCAGAATTCCTTTGTCCCTTTCTAGTAGTTCTGATGTAAATAAATGAATGTCTCCAGCTGGAGACATTAAAATAGCTTCAATAATTAGTTCATATCATTTCTGCCTAACTCCTACCGAAGTCTAAACTTTGACATGGAAGGAGGTGGGCAAGTCTAGAGGCATGTATTAGAGCCCACAAACAAGACCTATTGTCTGTAACAACAATCAGTAAGACATATTAAAAATAGCTAATAACTTGGGTCTTTAGGAATGCCTGTGCACAAAGGACAGATGGAACAACTTGGACAGTTTAAAACTTAAGAGCCAGATAGTTTTGCCTGCCGGATGCCACAACCATTTCATATTGCCGTTTTCCTACCTGAAAAGATAGATGACAAGTTCAGATTGTAGCTAGTAAGGGGTACAGGAACTCAACACTACAGGACTACAGGACTGCAGTCTTCATGACATAGCTTTCCACTAAACAAAGGAAATCCAAGAAGGTCCTTGGGAGCCCTTGAGAAAACCCTTACAGGTGTGGTAACGGGGTGGCCCACGTTTGGCCAACATTTAAGGATCCCACAGTAGTCAAGGAAGGCACCCAGGTAATGTCAAAGCAAACAAAAATCTTTTTCATGGGCTCCTAACTTCATCACCAGGCAGAACAAAGATGGGCAATAAGCTCGGTAAAATAAACCCAATAAAGGAGGAAGGAAAGACACACAGTAGACCACAGCAGCTGTCAAAACTCTTTCATTAACACGAGGTGGTGTGCCATGCTCCGGTCCCAAAGCCAACAGGGCCCCAGTCCAAAGAGCGCTCGGCTCATCTCCACCGCTCAGCCAGTGATGCGCACGTCCGCACGGCGCTGGAGTCGCCGGGCCCGTGTTTCCTCTGGCAGGATGGCCAGCAGCTGCTCCTGTACCAACATCTCCACCATCTGCTCTTTGGTGCGGATGTCTGGCCGCAACCACTGGCGGGAGAGCTCCCGCAGCTGCCGGAACGCTTCTCGGGGGCCGGCCGCGTCCTGGTAGCGGAACTGTCGGAAACGCTGGCGGAACGTCTCAGGGCCTGGCCGCGAGCCGCTTGGGCCCGCCGGAGAGCGCGCGGCGGCAGGGGCCTGAGGCGCAGAGCCCAGGGCTGCGGGCCTAAGGGGCAGCTCTAGCACCGCGGAAGCCGCCGCGGAGGGCGTAAGATTCGCTTCGGAAATGTCGGCGTTGGGGTTGCAGGGCTCGGGGGTAGACGAGCAGGCCTCTGGGGTCGAAGGGTCTGCAGAGTTAGGCTCAGGGTCTGAGTTCGCGCCGGCTCCGTCCTGCTGTTCCGGCGGAGCAGCCGCAGGACTCCCGGTGGTCGCCAAGCTCGGCCTCGTCGCCGCCATGACTTCAGCTCGGGGCGTCACTCTTTGTCCGGCAACTAAGGGCTCAGTACTGCGTCTGCGCGGAAGCAGGGCAAGGAGGGAAACGTTTCTCACTGAAGGATAGAGGCAGTGCAACCCGTGAGGGAAGCCGACTTGGGAAGCACCGAAGGCTAGCTGGACTTACTTACAACGTCGGGGCGCCCTGGGAAGCCGGAAGTAGGAGGTGCTGGCTTCTCTATGATTAAGTCGGCGCACAATCTCCCGGAAGCTGAGCCTCGGTTCTCGGAAGCGGCGCCTCCTAGCGGTCTCCAGTCGCGTCAGGCGATGACAGCCGCAATAGTGAAGCCTGCTAGTCTCAGCGTTCGGTGGGATTTTCTCTAGCATGGCGCCTCTAAACGGGGCAAGGAGGCGGGGTCGGAGTCCGAGTTGGAGCTGCAGCCCAAGAAGGCTTAGACAGATGAACCTGAGGCTGACCGGGTAGACTTCAAGTCCCGGGGCCTCAGCCGAACGACCACTTCTCTGGTGGCCGGCGCGTGTGCGTGCAGGCGCGCCTTCTTGATCCTGCCAGCTCTTCGGTAAATGCGGTGGATGACAGCTAGTCAAGGACTGGTCGGACTGGCCAGTGCCCTGCGACGGCGGACAGGAACTGGGAGAGAACCTAGTTTAAGAAAGTCCGTTTAGCTAGCATGGTGGCTTACACCTGTAATCCCAGTCCTCAGGAGGCGAGGTGAGGAGATCGTCGTGAGTTCGAGGCCAGCCCAAATCATATAGCGCCATTCCTTCTCAAAACAGGTTTTTCTTCTTGGTCAAACGTGGGGGAAGTGGCCCCAATCTTTTTTTTTTTTTTTTTTTTTTTTTGGCCTTTTTCGTTTTTATCGGGACCGGGTATTGAACTCACGACTGCCTGCTTGCAAGGCAGGCGCTTATGCCGCTGAGCTAAATCCTCAGCCCCGCCCCCAATCTATTTCTAAGCCAAGAAAATACTTGTGTAGGGTCCTCAAACACATTGCCTAACACAAAATAAGTGCTCAGGGGCTCTTTGCCATTATGTTTGAGAGTCCTCTGAAGCCAAGGGACAGGCAGCTCTTTGGGTTCCGCTTTTTACTTTAGTTAGGATTAGTAAATGGACTATAAATGCCTTATCCTTTGAAAGGTAGCTTGTCCATATTGCGAAATGTACTGTAATAAAAACTACATATAGGTCTTGGTGCAAAAGGAATCGTGTAAACAAGCTCAACATTTTTTGTATTGATTACATGTTAGGGTATAGTATTTTGCCTACTGAGGCAAGTACGTTTATTTTAATTCCAGATGGGTTTTTTTCTTTCTTTCTTTTTTTTTCTGAGAATTGAACTCAGAGCCTCACGATTGCAAGGCAGGCAGTATGCCACTGAGTTACATCGCCAGCTCCCACATGTCCTTTTTTTTTTTTTTTTTTTTTTTTGGTAGCGAATGGCTAAGTGCATGTTTATTAGAAAGAATAAAGGAATAGCTGTCTACTAGTCAAAGGGTGGTGTTTTGTAAGTAGACATCATAGATGTTTAAGTCTGTTGGCCTTTTTTAAAGTAGTTTTTTGGGTCCTGTGTATGTTCCTGGTTGCAGGCAGGCCTTTAATGTTTGGAAAATAAGCAGTTTTATTTGCATTTTATTTTTTTTAAATTTTATTTAAAGAGAAAAAAACAAAAAGGATACAAGTTATACAAAATTTCAGAATTTCAGAAAAAAAGTAGGAAATCACTAGTTAATAGATTACAAATTGTCATCTTAGAAATAGTTGTTCATTACAAAATTAAAGAATATAAAGTGGACATTAAAACAGTGAGACTGCAAACAGTTCTGTTCGGTGATCCAACAAAACTCAGTAATATGGTTATCTATCTTATACACTTAAATATACATGCAGTTACATCCTTTAGAGCACTTACTTCTCTCTTTTTTACAATGACAATTACACATTTTGGGTTTTATTACTCCCACAGTTCTTATTACTTTTTTTGAAGAGAATAAAACCAAATGTGACATAACAAAACAGAGTCAGTCAAATCAAAAGGATGGACATAATACATAATGTAAAAACAATACAAGGTGATCAACAATGGTTACCATACTGCCTCTTGCTATCTTAAAAAGAATTGCCTATATCATCAGTTATAATAAAATTGAACAAAATAGTAAAGAACAAAACCAATAAAACCAAAACATTGCAGACATTACAGGACTTCAAAAGAAGATAATAATCAAACCATAATGGGCGTCATAGTGAATCTTATTGTCTTCACAGTTGTTGCCTATACTCTCAAACTTGGTACTATCAAGCAAAACAGAATAGAGGAAAATCAATCAAAACAAGATGGTGAGAGCAATACAGGGTTTCAAATCAAGTTAATAGGAAGTCAAAGTAGATTACTGTAATATATCCTGCTATTTTTATTTTTCCCTTAATTAAAAAGATAAAAATAAAAAAGTAAATAATAAAAAAAGGAGATTGAGATAAAAGAGGACATAACAAAACAGCACAGGTCAGAAGATAACCATTTAAGCAAAATAGTGTTTCACCACAAGATAATCCCAACATAAAAGTAGTTACCATATTGTCTCTTTCCTTGAAATCTTTGAGTATGACTTCATATACTGTAGCATCAAACATATCAAGACAATGTAAAACTATTCAAGAGAATGATAGTATTACAAGGTATTTATAACCAACGAACATAAAATGAACAATGGTTTCTGTATAGTCTCCTTGTCTATAAAAGTTTTTGTTTATATTATCACATATAATAATACCCAATAAGATACAACAGGTTAAGACCGATGGAGAGAGAAGAACAAAAGCTTTGATGGGACTTCAAAACAAGATGTTATTAAATCAGCACTAGCTATTATGATGTCTTGTTTTCTCCAAAATAGCTGTTCCTACCATCCAACCTTCTCTGCCTCATTTCTGTTGAGCTCTTTTTCTGTCATTTGTTGTCAGTTTGTCTTCTTCATTTCGCTTTCTGCTCCATTCATTGTGGCTTCTCTGCCACTGTTTCTGGAATCTTGGAGTTTTTCTTTTTTAGAATGTCCTGCAGTATTCTCTGTAGAGTTGAACTGGTGGTTGCAAATTCCCCTAGTCCCTCTTTATCCTGGAAGCACCTTGTTTTTTTCATCATTTCTAGGGACAGTTGTGCAGGATATATCAATCTTGGCTGGAGGTTATTATTTTTCAAAACTTGAATTATTTCCCCCCACACTCTTTGTGATTTGTTGGTTTGTGCTGAGAAGTCTGCTATAATTCTGATGGGTGTTCCCTTGTAAGTGATCTATTTCTTGTCTCTGACAGCTTTTAATATTCTGTTCTTATATTGGATTTCTTGAATTTTGATTATTATATGCTGGGGTGTAGTTCTGTTAGGATTGTAGGTGGCTGGGGTCCTGTATTTGTATTATTGCTGTTTGTTTCCTTGTTATCTTTTAAGAAGTTTTTCAGTTCATGCTCCCACATTACAAATCTGTCCTCCAGTTCAGATAATCTGTTCTTAGTTTCTTTCAAGCTGTTATGCCAGCTTTCAATAGAGTTTCTAGTTTCCTGATAATCTCTTTGAACCTACTTCATGTATTCTATGTTTTCTCTATTTTCTCCATCAAACAATTCTCCCCTTTTTTTCTGTTCTTCCATTCCACCATCTGTTTTTTCTTGGGCAGTGCTTAGCATTTCTCTAACTATTCTACTTATATCTTGCCTTTCTTCATTAAATACTTCGCTTTTGAACTTGTCTGTGAGGCTCCGGAGATATCGCTTTATGTCTATTGGTGCCATGTCTGATATTGCATGTTTTCTGTCCTCATTCTCCTTTGTGTTTACCTTTCCTGGATCAGTGTTCTCAGGATTGGGGGCCGAGGACCCTTTCTTGTTGCCTCCTCTTCTCATATTTTTTGTTCCTTCCATACAGCCATATAGAGGAGGCCCAGTTTCTTTCTTTGTGGGTTACAGTTTGTTTGAATCCCCCAGCTAGGTGTTCCCGCCCACTGCAGTGTATTAGGGAGACACAGACTGGGGCAGCATATGTTGGGTCCGCCCCTCCGAGTCAATCAACCTACTGAAGGCTTCACTGCTAGGATGCACTGCCCGGTGCTGGGACCTGGTTTGGGCTAGCCTACTGGGTCTTAGTCTGCGGCTTCACCCAGGCCAAGCGCTCCCCACCAAACCCGCTTGAGAGGGGAATATGTGACTAAAGTCACTGCTGCGTCCTGTTCTGGCTAGTCTGCCTGGTCTCACAATGTCCTCTGGTGGAGCCTCCTCATCTATGGAAGGGTCCCTGTTCCTTTCACTCATTGCAGGTCAATGCAGGGCTCCCTGCCAGTCCCACTCTCATCTCAGGTCGTGGATTCCTGCTCTTAGAGCTTTCTCATTTCTATCCCTGCTGATACAGACGCAGCAGTGGTGGCAGGAAATTCAAATTGCCCACATGTCTTTTTAAATGCAGTTATTAGGAGTTTCATTTTTGTTTCTATGAAGACAAGGTCTTGCTATGTAATTCAGGCTGGCCTTGAGCTTTGTAGCCCAGATGGCAATCCTCGTGCCTCAGCCACCTGAGTGCTAGGATTATAGGCCTGCACCACTACACTGTGGCTACTAGGAAAATTTAAATTACCTACGTGGCTTATATTTTCATTAAATAGTTCTGGCTTACAGTGTTGGAGTCAGGTAGCCTTGGTGGAATTTCCCTTTGTAGGATGTCTTTGCCTTACTGTGAGACTGTCAAAAAAAAAGTTTGCTGTTATTTTTATTAGGTAAATTGCTTATTATCTCTGAGCTGCAGTTTTCTTATCTGTTAAATTAGAAATCTGGACATAAAGAACTCATCTCTTAGAGATTACACTGAGAATTTGGAAAGATAATGCAGGTAAAAGTGTGTAGTCCTGACAGTCCCCTGGGAAATGGAATTATATTCTCTTTTAATGTAACAAACACACACAAATAGTTTTTGTCTCTTTTTTCAAAAATGATTGCATCACATTTCAGAGATTTGTGTCTCATTTTGTGTCTTATTTCAGAAACTGAGGCCCAGTGACAGAGGCCCCAAAGAAAAGGTTTTGTATAACCCATGGAGTCCCTTTGGCCTTTGTCAGGTGCAAGGGCATGACTGATAGTTGTCAATACAGCTGTGGCCTTGATTAAAAAACAAAAACAAACAAAAACTTTCCCTCTTGTAGGATGTCTGCCTCAAATGGGTAGATGCAGATCCTCATGAAATAGTTTTTAAAGTGTTGAAAGTCAGCATAATTGGTCCTTAGTGTTTAGTTGCTGACATGTTAAACTTGAGAGATTTCACATGCAGAGATTTTTTTTTTAAGTGGAAGATCCCACTGTACTCTGAACTCACATTCCTACTAGCCAGTAGTCAGCCAAAGCTGACACTTCTTCCTGTAGACTAGATACTCTATCCTGGTGGCTCTCTGCCCCTAACTCTTCCTATTGTTCTCTGAAACAGAATATTGTATTTACTTTTACTCTCAAATTGTATTCGTTAGAAGTAAGAGTTTTGTTTTCAGAGTGGGAAAAGAGGGTCTTAATATTAATTATATTTGTTGACTTCAGACCTTCTCCCCAGCCTTGTAAGAACTGGATTTGTCATCAGAGTGAACCGGTAGTCCCATTCTCT